GAGAACCTACATCAAGAAGTAACTTGGGGGGGGGGGGGGGGGGGGAAATCAGCCACCATAGATTCCCTGAAAATTTTCCGGGTTTTTTTCTGTTGGGAGGAGGTTAAGGGATGGAAGGCACCTGTAATGTTTAAAATTTGCCTCTTAAGTACCCCATAAATCCGCAAACCAAAAAAGTATCAAGGATTTCAATTTCACTTGTGCTGGTGGTGTCATATGTCTGACCCTATTTTCTGTAGCTTCCCCAGCAAGGAAAGAAGATAAATTATGCCTTCCAACCAATATAATGCATAAACCTTGTCTGTGGCAGGATAGAATCTTTGACTGATTATATACTGAATCTCTTCTGACTGTGCTACTGTACAGGTAGTCCCTGACCAAAAGGTGGCTTTTTAAAAAAAGGCAAACTGGACTTTCCAATTTTTCTTTAAGATATTTAATTTCTCATTCAAGAAGCTTCTTCAGTTTGTTCAACAACGGAATGAACAGTTGTAAATCAAAGGCTACCTGTACATGAATGGATCGGTAAAGAAACAGCCCACTTAAGATAATCATATACAAAAGCCAAATTCAGTTTCAAGATGGTGAGCCACCAAATGAAGAAAAAGGAAATAATGCCACAGTTTGCTACCCTAGGAGTCTATTACCAAATTTAATTACTAATCATTCCAAAATTTCCCACTAATATATGGCCTTTCTGAAAAGAAAATGTTGCACATGCTGACAGAGGCAATTAGGCTCTGAAGCCAAACTGCATTCTTAAAAATACCCTTTCTAGTGAAGTATAGTAATCATAGCAATGCCCATATCAAAAATTTGTGGAAAGATATGACCATACATGTGAACATGCAGGTCCACAGATTGCTACTGTAATGCATGTTTTCTCGATCCATAAGTGTCAATCTGTTATTTAAAAGGCAAATAAGCCTTTTTACCAAGAAGCCTGAAGAAAATACAGCAGCTATGAGTGGCTGAACATAAAATTCCTGGGACATTTACACTGCCCTAGGATGCAAAAATTCAACTTTTTTTTACTTATTAAAATTCACAGCATCTTTGCTTAGCACAAATGAAAGCACATACCTTAGATAAGCAATAGGATACATGATGTATTACTGACCAGCCACTATAAACCCAAACTAGAGAATGACAAAAGGTCCAGGTGTTATATCACTATTCCTTTCAGAACAACATGCAATAATTATGAATTCAGGTAGTCCTCGCTTACCAACCACCTTATTTAGTGACTATTCAAAGTTACAACAGTGCAGAAAAATAGCCTTCTGCAACCACATGATTGCCATTTGTGTGCTTCGCAACTGGCTTATAACATCTTAAGACACCGCCATGTGTTTCCCTTAGTGACCGTGGTGTTTCACTAATATTGGAAGGAGAAGTATGGTTGTAAGCCCATCATGGTCACATGATTTTCCACTTAGAGATCCGAGTTACCAGACTCAATTGTAGTTGCTAAGTAAAAACTGCCTGAATACAGTTTTATACAAAGGCTTAGGCATTCTTGATCACACTTTATGTACTTGCTTTCGGATTTATTGATGACATGCAAAGGGGACTACGAATAATTCCGAACTAGACTATTTTGATAGGAAGAGTACAAAAAATATTCCAAGATTCATAGTTGGGTATAAGAAATGTTTGGAAGCCATTTCTGATAAAGGAGATATGACAATATTCTAAATGAAAGGAAATAATCGCCCATCTCTCTCTCACAAGGGGGCTCTGGGCAGTAATTTATGCGAAAATACGCATTCCAATTTGTAGAAAGATGCCGGGTTTAACTTTGTACCCTGCAAAGGTAGCATCGGCTGCTCACTTAGGGATGCCCTGAACTATATAATTTTGGCACGGGGGGGGGGGGGGGCTAAATTTATGCATCCAACTGTATTCACTGTAGCAACTGTATCGCTACAGCTGTTATGTTTGCCTTGAGAATCTGGATTCCAACAGCCACAGGTGTTCAGCTAGGCATGCATTTCATATCGCGTGAGCCACCCACGTTACACCTATCTTCTGTGAGCTGCACTGGCTGCCTGTTGGGCTCCGGACGCGCTTCAAGGTGCTAGTTGTTACTTTTAAAGCCCTGCATGGTATTGGACCTGGGTACCTGAGAGACCGTCTCCTGCCAATTACCTCCCTACGACCAATTAGATCCCACAGATTAGGCCTCCTCCGAATACCATCTGCTAGCCAATGTCGACTGTCGACTCCTCGAGGGAGGGCCTTCTCTGTGGCTGCTCCGGCCCTCTGGAATGATCTCCCCGTGGAGATCCGGACCCTCACCACCCTTCAGGCTTTCCGCAAAGCCACTAAGACCTGGTTGTTCCGGCAGGCCTGGGGCTGATGAGTTCCCAGCCCCACTTGAATTGTTGCGACTGTTGCTGTGTTTTTAACTTGCTTGGTTTTTGTTTTTGTTTTCCTGTTTGTATTCTCCTTCACCTCTGCTTGTTAGCCGCCCTGAGTCTCTCAGGAATAGGGCGGCATACAAATGGAATAAACAAACATTTCAAACATTACAAGATTTGGTCACAGAAACTCAGTGTCAAGCTTGATGACCTCACAAGATATTGGGTTGTTTTTGTTATCCTTACTGCCTATAGTTCAAAGGGAATAACAATAGCAATAGCAGTTAGACTTATATACCGCTTCATAGGGCTTTCAGCCCTCTCTAAGCGGTTTACAGAGTCAGCATATTGCCCCCAACAACAATCCGGGTCCTCATTTTACCCACCTCGGAAGGATGGAAGGCTGAGTCAACCTTGAGCCGGTGAGATTTGAACAGCCAAACTGCTGAACTGCAGTCAGCTGAAGTAGCCTGCAGTGCTGCATTTAACCACTGCGCCACCTCAGCTCTTCCTTCACCTTGTTGAGATGCTATTAATACAACACACCTAGACTGTTAGCCCTAGTTGCTCATCAGCATGGTTTGAAAAATCTGTGCTAAATGAAATTTGGTCTAGGGTAAATATTAAAAATGTGGGAGTTTTATTTAGTGAAAGAAGTATTATTCATGGTGCTTAATAGATTGATATATTGTGTTAATTTTTTCTGATCTATTTTTATTCAATTATAAGGGATTTCAGCAAAAAAAAAAATGGTAAACCTGTTGGTACAATGACTGGGTAAACATCATTTCCCTTGAACTTTGCAATGGCTCCTGGGTAAACGCCGCAGCATTAGTGTGTTAATGCTTAGTTAATAGTGGTGGGGAATTTGATCAACCTCAAACCTGCCTAGAAACAGCAACATTTGGCCTGTGGTCATGACATTTCCACACATACATGAGCTGTGGAGGATAGAGAGCTCTACACATCTTCAACGAAATTGCATATACTTTTATTCAAACATTACAGGATTAAGCCCTGATTCTAACACTTAATTTGATCTCTGGCAAATAATGTTTTGGCATAGACAAGTGAAAGCTCCCTGATGGCTCGCTTGTAAAGGTAGTTCTATAGTTATGACCAAAATGGACCCAAAATTTCTGTTGCTAAGCTAGAAAGTTGCTAAGTGAGGTTTGCCCCATTTTATGACATTTCTTACCACAGTTGTTAAGTGAATCACTACAGTTGTTGTGAATCTAGCTTTCCTATTGACTTTGTTTGACAGGAAGCCCAAAAGATGAACACATGACCTTGGGACCCTGCAACCGTCATAAATACATGCCAGATGTCAAGCGTTTAATTTTGATCATGTGACCATGGGATGCTGCAACAGTTAAGTGTGAAACATGGTCATAAGTCACTTTTTTTCAGTGCCGTTAAACTTTAAAAACAGTCACTAAATGAATGGTTGTAAATCGAGGATCACTTGTAAATATTATGCAGATCCCTAAGTATGACATTACTAGTAATGTACACATGGATTCCCATTGGACTCCATTCAGCAGTCATGTGGATTGAATCAATTCTTATGCTTGCTAAAGCAGTTTTGACTAAAAATGGCATTCCTCCCATAAAAGAGAGTTTCATCATAAAAGCCAACTTTTAGTGAGTTTTTAAATTCTGGACTAATATTTCCCAAATTGCACAATTCCAAGAGAGGAATATTACAATTGCTATAAATTATGCAAATCAAAGAAATGTATACGACTTACTTCATTCATACTTTGCACACTTCCTACATTTATTCTGGCAGTTATGTGAACCTTACTTTGTTCCCCAAATTCATACTGAACAGGCAAAAAACGGTAAGAGCTCATTGCTGCCCTATCCCCTAAAAATTGAGGGGAGGGTGTCAATTGTACCACAAAATCTACAAGTGCCAGCCAATATACTAAACAATACAGAGTTGCAGTTCAGCAACATCTGGGAGACTACAGATTTCTTGTCCTTGATGATATATTCATTCCCATTCCAAAACTGTAAAGGACTCCTAGACTTGCAGGTGTCTATGTGCAAGTACAAGGGTGTAAACCTGAATATTAAATTAGACATACCAACAAAATGGGACTAAGAATCTTACTATTTCACCTATTTTGTCAATTGGAAATACCATATTCTTCGTAATATGGATCTCTATGTTCAAAGACTTTTGCTTTTCTCCTTTGAATTCATCCTAACTGGACAAGCTCTATGGCTTCCTCCCATTAATGGATTCTTTCTACACTAGACATTTTATGGTAATATACTATATAGGACAATTCTGAATCTAAGGGAATAAGATTGCTAGTAAAAAAGCAACCATGATCCTCTGATAATCTGTGCAAACCTAACACTGTCAGCTACAATGATGCAATCAACACAAGCCTGTAACAGGTGCACGGGGGGGAATTAAGAGTAGGATTTCCAGAAGTCTGAGTATACTTCCAACTCAATGGCAGTGATAATTACCTTCTGGAAAGGGAAATGTTGTATTCTCCTCCTTACCAATATGGATTTGCAGACTCCAGCCACAGCTTGGCAGGCTGCTGAAGTGGGGAAGTCTATGGGCAAGTTGGGCAGGCCCAAGATGGTCACAAGGGGCAGCAGACCCTTCTGATTCACAAATTCCTGGCAATGGTCATCGGTAGTATTATTGCTGAGGATCGATTCCACAAATTTCATCTGGGGAAACAGAAAAATGATGGGAAAAGAGGGGGGAAAAAGAATCAAGCTTTTTGCAGTTCTACAAACTGCTGTAATTCTACATCAAGGGTATGGAAAACATAACAATTTCTTAATTCAGTAGTTCCTTAACACAGTGTTTCCCAACCTTGGCAATCTGAAGATGTCTGGACTTCAACTCCCAGAATTCCCCAGCCAGCGAATGCTGGCTGGGGAATTCTGGGAGTTGAAGTCCGGACATCTTCAAATTGCCAAGGTTGGGAAACACTGCCTTAACAGATTCTAGAATATATACTGTCAAGACCAAGTCCACCCAACTTTTGAAATAGCAAGAACATTAAGACCAAAAATAAGGTTTTGGGTCATTTTATATCATTCCCAGAAAACAAGTATCAAAATCAAATATTATGGTTTTTTTTCATAAACACCTTGGAAAAGTATATGTTAAGCTCCACCTACTGTTCAAGAACTTACCACATTAAGGATGTAATCCATGAGAGGAATTGGTATCCGTTCTTCTGTCCCAACGACCCTAGAAAGAGGGAAAATTACGATCACTGCAAATCTTCCATTTTTTTTACAATGGATACGTGCGATCTCCTACACTCACATTTTAGATTTTATGCAAAGCCTTCTTCCTTTAAGGTTTTCCAAAGAGATAAAATGAAAAAAGGGCAATAGAGTGAAAAGGACTGTTACTCATCAAGCCCCTTTTAACCCAAAATATCCATAGGACAGCTCTGGATCTGGGCTGCGGCAATAATGTGCCAAAAGCGGCTTCAAAATGACAAAAGGCATCAGGACTGAAGGGGGGGTGGGGAACAAAAACAAGAAACGGCAATGGGAGGAATGAAGCAATACTGCCCATTTTGGCCAGAGGCCTTGAACCGGATTAAAAATGGGAATGTGGCAAGATCCATGAATGGTCGACTGCCGGGCGCCATGGAGTTCTGCAGCAAAATGGAGCCAGGCAGGAGAGAGAGAGAGAGAGAGAAGGGGAAGAATCGGAGAGTGACGTAAAGAGCATGCTCCGTGCAGAATTTGGTCTGGAAAAGAAGAAAATGTCTGATGTGAGCAAGGAGGGACCAAGACAAATGCAGGGCGGGGAGGTGGGTGAGCGGAGGATATTGGGGCTACTCCAGTCCCACCAGGCACCTGCCACATGGCAGCAGACAAGCCAAAAGGAAATCCGGCCCTGCTACTTTAGCCAGAAGAAACATGGCCTCCTCCCTGAAGCTAGGAGAAGTTTAACTGTTTCTAGTCCCTAAAAATATAAATGTCATACTTCTACTTTCAAGAAGGGCAACAAAAAGGATTGCAGAATCGTAATTCAAAACAATTTTTTGTATTATTGGGGAAGGCAAAAAAGTTATTGAACCCAGGCTGCCTTTAAGGGAATGAACTAGTTATAATTTTAAAAAAACTGGGAGGGGAAGCCCCCCCCCGCCCCCGATATTCTGCTTTCCTTTCGTCGCAAAGCACCATGATGTCCCTGAATTAACTGATTTCAAATGCTGAATACCAGTTATGCATTTCCCCCCAGCCTCATCCAGGAGGAGTTGATGGGGTTAAATTGTCCCATAGACGGACCATTTCAGAGTTCAGAAGTTTACAAAGAAACAGCTGGCAGGCGCTCAGGAGCTGTAGGAGACTTTGCCAAACAAACAGTGAGCCAAGACAGCCTCTTAGCAAGGTTCTCACAAGCTGAGATCAGGGTGCCAGAGAGCAGGCGCACTCTGCTTAAAATGCTTAAAGTGACATTACATCCCACTCCATTTGTTGGCTCTGGAAACTTTTTTGTCCTCAGAAATATCACATTTGCTGTGTTATAGGTCCCTGAAGTTCCATCAGTTCAAATCACTCTAGTTTTTTTTTCCTCTACAAGAAGTAATATGAAGCTTCAGCCTCTGATTCATAAGAGCTGCTGAAATCTTTCAAAATGTACAGGAATGCCTATGAGCATCTCTTCTGAACTGCAAAAATAGCCATGTATTTTTCTAGGTTCATAAGCAAAGTAGTTATGCTTCCACATACATGTGGAAACATAATTTATTTTCCCTGAAAATAAGCCCTCCCTGGATAATAAGCCCAACTGGGCTTTTGAGCGCATGCGCTAAAATGAGTCCTACCTCGAAAATAACCCCTCCCCAAAATATTGCAACGCAGCAGCAGCCATGAGGTGACCACTCTCACTGCCTCCTGAACCTCAAAATTAATAAGACCTTCCCGAAAATAAGGCCAAGCGCTTATTTCGGGGGGGGGGGTTTCAAAAGAAAATAAGACCCTGTCTTATTTTCAGGGAAACACGGTAGGAAATGGTGTCTGGAGCAGTCAAATGAGTCCAGGGAAAAAGTCTGCATTAATAATTCCAAAATTAATTTTTCTGATTATAGAGTTAATACTTTAAAGTGTAAAAAAGGCTTATTATTTATTATACTACTAAAACAAAAACTATTTGGAAATTAATGTAATTAGTTTTGCTTAAAAGAGAATTTGAGGGAAGATATTCTGTGAACATAAATAATTCAGTGAACTTATTTTTCCAAGACTAGCCTGAATTAAAACTTTTCATGGTATACTCAACTACAAGACCATCCACATTCATAGATGAACATGCAGCCTTGGGGCTGGTTAGCTTCCTGAAAACTCCCTCCCAACTTTTAATTAGCTTTTAATGTCAACTTTAATTACTCTTGCCTCTATTTTAAATTTTAAGTTTGATTTTTATATTAATATTTTACTTGTACACTCCCTAGAGTCCCTCTGCGAGGAAGATGGGTGATTATTAAATGTGGTGCTGGCTGGCTGGCCGGCCAGACAGACAGACAGACAGACAGACAGTTGTGCAAGACATTAGCATTACATTGAAAAGAAATGACCACTCTAAAATAATTTATTTCCAGGACAGAAAAATGTGGCACTTGTTGGCCCAACAAAAGGTATTTTTGCTTCTATTTCACATAAAACTCAGACTGATGAAGAATTTTATGAAAGCGATGAATAAGGGAGGTGAAAGCTTTTTGTTATTTGGGACGGCTGCTTTCAAGAATAAAAGTGATGCTAAGATTAAGGAAGGAATCTTTGTTGGTCTACAGATCAGTTATATCATCAACAACAAGTGCCAAAGGATTTGTTAGTGGGGCCAGAGAAAACACCCTGGAAAGCATTCAAGGACATTGTTCAGAATATTCTTGGAAGCTACGGAGAATCAAACAATATTCGGCAGGTTCACAAATTTTTTACAGCAAACAAGATCATGAACTACAACATGTCACTGAAGATTCATTTTCTGCAATCATCCTTGGACTTCTTTTACAAAAATCTAGGTGCAGTAAATGATGAATATGGTGAAAGGTTTCACTAGGACTGTGATGGTGAACCAATGGCATGCGTGCCACAGGTGGCACACGGAGCCATTTGTTAGGGCATGCGAGGCATTTCCCTGTCATCTCCAGCATGCATGTGTGCGCTGGCTATCTGACTTTGGCCTTCTTCAAGCCTCCGGAGCATGAAAAACCAGCCTTATGGCCAAACTGGAAGTCACTTCCGGTTTGCTCTTAGGGCCGTTTTTCACCCTGCTGACCCTTAAGGAGGCTTCCCTGAAGGCTCTGGAGGGCGAAAAACAGCTCCATGGGCCAACCGGAAATTCAGGAATGGACTTCCAGTTTGCCTATAGGGGTGGTTTGTTGCACTCCGGCGGCTTCAGGGAGGCTCCTGAAGCCTCCAGAGGGTCTCGAGGGGGGCTGTTTTCGCCCTCCCTAGGCTCCTAGAAGGAGGGCGAAAACCATGCCAAAAGCAGGTGTGGGGGGAGCACTGGTCACGGGCACATGCACACAGGGGGGGATGCACCCACATGTGTCTTACCCCCACAGTATTTGTTTCCAGAGAGTAAGTCATCTGTGTACCAAGCTTGGTTGAAATTACTCAAAGCGTTCCAGAGTTATGCTGGANGGAACAGCCAGGTCTTGACGGCTTTGCAGAAAGCCTGAAGGGTGGTGAGGGTACGAATCTCCATGGGGAGATCGTTCCAGAGGGGAGATTCGGACACAATCCCTATGAGGAAAAAATGTAGGACCGCAGGAAACTTGGGGCTACACAGTTTTTTTTAAAAAGGATTTATAAAGGAGATGGAAGGGAGAATATAAGTGATGTGGAACTGCAGAGATAGTTTGTGAATGCTAACGTTCAGAATGAGTCCTGGTTGGTGAAAAGTGCCCAGAATTATAATAAGTGTGCCTTTAGAAATATTCAAAACAATAGGAAAATAATTAATTAAAGATATTGAAATGCCCGCAGATGACATATCGTATTTTCCTGAAATAAGCCCTTGGTCCTATTTTTGGAGAGGTCATATTTTTTGAGGTGCAGGAGACGGCGAGCGTGGTCATGTCATGGCTGCTGCTGTGTTGCGCTGCTGCGCCTGCCACTCTTTTTGCGGTGGCCGTTAACATGGCAGAATGGGCACGGTGGCCAGAGTTGCAGGAGCAGCCATTAGGTAAGGGCGTGTGGGGTGCGTGGGGCATGTTACCCCTCTCCCCTCCGGCCTCGCCTCCTCACCTTGTGTTTTTTGTGTGGACCAGCTGCGCATGTGTTGAAGTATTTTTGGGGAGGCCTTATTTTCAGGGGAGGGCTTAGTGTTGTTTTTAGCGCATGTGCTCAAAAGCCCGATTAGGCTTATTATACAGGGAGGTTTTATTTTCTGGGAAACAGAGTAGCTATGTGGTATAGTCTTCTTGACCCAGAGAAGATGTGTTCCACCAGGAAACAGTGAAGTCAAAACAACAAGTCAAGGTGAAAGATTGAGACTGCCTGGAATGGAATGGGACTACCAAAATATCTGTTTCCTTTGAATGAGTTTCTCATTCATATCTCTGGGTTCAAATGAGCATCATCATCTCTAGTCTGTTTGAAAAATCCTAGAGTAAAAGGAAACTGCTAAATGACTGCCGATCAAACACGGTGAACCCATTAGTGCTCTCTGAGTTTGATTATTTGCTTGCAGAGATTTCATTAACCAACTAGGTAACATCACCCAGTGCTAATGAGATTTGTTCCATTCTGTGTGTGTGTGTTTGTGTGTGTGTATCAGTGTTGGTGGGGATGTGGTTGATTAGGGTATTGTTTTCTGTCTGTTTGTCAGTGTTAATCCATGCTTTTGTGGATGTTGGTTGCTGGAGTGGATATGTTTGCACTCCTTTTTTCCTTTTTAGCTTTATAATGTGTCTTTATTTCTATGTATTTATTGACTTGGTCTAGGATGCCCTCATCATTTCCCATACTTGATAAAATCCATCCCCCCCCCCCGTAAAATAAACCCTATCTATCAGTTAGATGAAGTTTGTGTACATCACATTCACCCAATTTCTCATAGTATTGACCATTTTTGCTTGATTTTAGAAACCAGGCCAAAATTTGTAAATTCCAGGTGCCTGTCTATACCTCTCTTCTGTCACCTTGACTCTTCAGAGAAAAGTGGACAATACTTCTTAGTTGCTGGATATCCCCTCTCCTCCCCAGAACTGCAGAGCAGAAAGAGGGACTCTGGCCACACAATTAGCAAACTCATCCATATAGAAGATACCACTTATATTCTATTCCATGTGTCATTAATACCATGCTAATAATTATTTTAAGATGAAGATGGAAAACCCTGGGTCATAATCTCAAGGTAGAATGCATGAATAATATAGCAAATTCATAAAAATATAGATGATTACATGTTAATATTAAATACTCTGTTCTTTCTAGTTTTTGGGCTCGAGGACAGCCAAGCAAGGATGCGAACAAGGACTGTGGGCTCATGCATCCCGATGGGACATGGGCATCTGCTGTGTGTTCTGATCACAATAGGTGGATTTGCAAAAAGGAATTGATCTGCTGAAACAATTCTTTTAGTTGTGTGCTCCTGATACAGGATTTATATAATCAGTTATGTACTGAAGATGCTTAGTAATCAAACATTAGAAGTTAGCATATTGTTATCATTTATATTGTGAAGCACAATTCCATATTGGCCCATATCAAAATGTATAGATAATAAATTGTATGATGAAATAGTTCCTTCTCGGCAGCTGATCCACTTTTCTCATAGTTCACATAATCATCCATATAAAACTTAAGGCAGAGCAACAGGTATACTTTCCTCTAGTTCAGTGGTTCTCAACCTGTGGGTCGGGACCCCTTTGNTAGATAGATAGATAGATAGATAGATAGATAGATAGATAGATAGATAGAGCGAGATATCTTGATATCAAATTCACCAATAATGATTTTTTTCAAGTAAAAATATACCCTCTTCTGGAAATAGGATGAAATATTGCAGCCACAAAATTTGGACATCTACTGCAGCTGTTTCAATTTGTGTGTTTGTTTTAAGAAATAAAGAAATGCATAAAGGCTACCCTACACGTAATTTATATCAGTGTGGGTAGCATACACAAATAAAATTTTAAAAAACAACCAGAATTAAACCAAAAAGGAAAATAAAACCAATAAATAATCATAGCGTATCTGAACATTTAACATATTTATATAGCTGCCTATCTTATATTGAATAACAAGCTCTCACTCAAACTCATTCCAAAAGGCAACCATAGCAACAGAGAAGGCACATTGTCAAGATCTTATTAAATGACACTATCTCAGAGATGGGACTAGGAGCATGTTTACTCTTTATGACTGAGTGATATAGACAGAAATAATCAGAGATAAGTGGTCCTACAAATAGCCCAGCCCTGTGCCATCACCTGAAAACTAGTATAGCTCCCCAATCCAAAGACCACCACTGGTCATCAAAATGTGTAATCACAGTGCAGCCTCAGTGCTATACTCCAGTTTGAGACCCGACTGAAAGAGCTTCAGATAATCTTTTTCCTACAGTGACCTTTGAAAACACAATGCAACCATCTTCTCAATAACCCTGTCTAAAAAGGTTAGAAATGGGGCAAAAACTATCCAGCTCCATTGGATCTAACAATGACTTCTTGACGAGAAGCTAAACCAACACCTCTTTCAGAACTGGTGGGACCATCCTCTCTCTTAGGGATGCATTCACCACAAGGATTCAACCTCATTTCCCCTCCTAGGATCCTTGACCAACCAGAAAAGACATGGATCTAGGACACAGATGCTACACTTATAGCCCTAAAAACCCTGTCCACTTCCTTAGAACTAACAAGCTCAAATAACAGGAAATAGAATTACACCATTCCCCAGTCAAGTTCACAGAATCTGTGAGAGTTCGTCTAACAGATGCCTACAATAACCTTCATTGCAGCCTTATAGGTGTCTCCCTGGTCCTTCCCTACCCAGAAGTGACTAAAATAAAAATGCTGGTTAGGAATCTGTGGACACAATAAATGAAGACAAACACTCATATTTCATCCCTTGTTTAACTGTGAGTCTCAGGAGCTCCTTAATTCATTTGGAATGCAGCATTAAATGAAATCCCAGGTATTACTTCAAATGTTTTATGCCCTATTCAGAGATAACCCACATAAAATGCACAAACTGCCAACACATGAGTGATCTTGCACATTTTTTGTTTTTGCATGCTGGACTGGACGGCCAACTTTATGCACAAACTTTTTTGTCATAATCAGCAACTATAATAGTAGATAACCTGAGACAAACATGAGTCTCAGTGGAAGCTGAGTATAAACAGCTTATTCCTATCCTACCTTGTAATAACCCACTACTTTTCACATTCCTCTTTTTCAAAAGCATTTGCCTTTTGGCATGAAGTTTTTGTTGGAGGGGGAAAAATCCTGAAGCCCTTAAATTCCCAGGCATAACTTCAGAGGTTTTCTGGAACCTCGTCAGAATTTTCATACAAAAAAAATTACTGCCTAATTTCTTGTCAGAGAAACCTGACTTCCATCCAAGCTGATAGCCTGAGAGAGCAGAGTAGCATACATTTCGCCATTTTGGAGAACAAACTGTCACATGCTGTTCCTTTTAGCCTCATTTACTCACTGTTGACTAGCTTCCGCCTCACTCTGCTGTGTGGCATTGAAGCTTTGCATGGCTTGTACTTCTTCCTCTTCTTCATCCTCACTGGAAGCCTCCTCAGCTGCATGAGTGGAACGAGGTGGAGGAGCAGTAGTTGTTCCATCAGCCTTCTGAATTGAGGGCTTTTGGCAAATATACTTGGGATCTCGGCCCAGGTTACAAATCTCTTCCAGCAACTGTGAAAAAGTGTATATAAACATGTTGGCACTCTTTCTACCAGAATAATAGTACTGTACTTCAAGTTAGATATTTTAAAAAATAATCAAGTAACGGATATAAGTGCGTACCTTGAGAAGCTCATTGGGTCGACAGTTATAAAACACAGTGCTGTATAGAAAGGGACATTTTCCTGGCCTCTTACCTTAATTATGGCTGTGGTAGCATCTGTCTTGAGCGTGGGCTGATGTCTCATGAGCTCATCAACAGCACTTCCAAGATTGGAAGCAGTATCTCCTAGAATAAACATGGGAGTCGGAATGGGGGATGCAGGATATATAAGCATTTTTAAAGAACTGAAGTCACTACATGAGGGCATTATTACACTTAGCATGAATCAGCCCAACCAAAAGGCAATAGTGTGAATGGTCAAAATGTATAACTCAATAACTCTAAAGCAGGAGGCTTACCAACAGTCAGATATGACCACAGTATATTAAGACGGATTACTGCAACATGCTCTATTTGGAACTGTCCTCCAAAACTATTCACAAATTTCAATTGTAGCAACCTGCATGCTACAGAAGTGAGGGCCCAGGAAAGCAACATGTGTGGAAATTAAAAAATGGCTGCCTTGCCTGAAGTATTAAAATTAAAATTGCCCTCTCCAAAAAATAAAAATGGAAGCATATTTCTTTCTTTTTTCTAGGTGAATGGCTAAACTTTTAAAAATTCCTAGGTTTGAATACGTAGACTGTGTTGTAAGAAATTTTTATTCCTTAATATTTTTAATGCTGTTTTTTTGTAATTCTATAGATTATTCACAGAAAAGTTGAATGTAAGTATTTTAGTTAAATTTCATGGGACTCATTAGTGTGAGTGCAGCAGTAATACATATCCACAGCTATGGCATCATATATCTTCATGCCTAACCTAACTTAACCATATTAAAAAAAAAAAGCTCTAAAAACCCATTTCTTTCTCCAAGCCTTGGGTTAGACTGGGTGGTTCTATGTGTAAGGCTGCTTTTTAATGGGTGCTTTTTTTAGTATTAGAATGGTAATTTTTCTTTTTAGCTGCACTGTAAGTCTTATGGTATGAATCATTGTACAGTTGGTCAGCCTTACAAATTACAAAAAGAAATATAATTCCAGCTATCTTTGTGCATTAGAAATAATAGCATTGTCGGCCCTGGAAGCCATCTTTTTCATTGGAGTTTCAGGACTGCCACATTTGGTGCCTGGGAAAATGGGAGGGGGGATAACTAGGAGTGGTGAAGAATTAGCCATAACAACATTCCTTTCTCGGAGTCAAGGACATTCGGCCTGCACCTGGATGGAAGTGACTGGAGGTTGTCTCCAGTTGCGATGGTGAACTGATTGGACCATGTGATGGACTTGTGGGTGCAGGGGATGGATTTTTGACTTTCTGTTGGGTGGGGAAAATCCAGAACTCTCAAACAAGCATTTTCAGCCTTTTATGAAACTCCCTAAAGATGGCTGGTGCTCTAACACAAACAGTCTGCTAGATTCATGACTGGGTTCATATACTGTACTAGGCAATAATATGGTTTCTTTGATTTTGGTTTAGTGAGTTGAGTCAATATAGGCACTTGAAATGGCAGGCTCAAGTCCCCAAGGCCCCAGACCTTTCCCCCCCTATTTTCAAATCTTCCTTCAACTTCAATTACAATAGTTTTCTGCCATTCTGAGCCAGGAAACATGTGAAAAGTATACTTCCGTCTAAAATTCTACATTAAAAGAAAACTCCAAGCCGGGGGGGGAAGAACCCATAGATTTTACATTGATTTTACATTGATACATTGACCCATAGATTTTACATAGGTGAGCCACTGCTCAATTTAATCATTACAGCCAACTGCCAGGATAAGACAAATTGTGACTGTAATGAATTATAGTTCCCAATTTATATCATTTCAAGCCACAGCATTATGGTCGTAGTAGTTTAACACATCTCCAGCACACTACAGGGCAGAAGTGGGGTATACTCTCAAACTTCCTCTTTATCTACATCATCCAACATGCAACATCAAGCTCACTAGGCAGTGAAGCAAAATTCCTAGTATAATCATTCTTCAATTTAACTTACCAAGTGGATCTGAACTACGCCGCCTCCTCATTGCAGGGAGATAGTCTGGAGAGAGCAAGACCTTGAAGAGACGCTCAAAAGGCTGACATTGAACAAAGGATTGAAGTCCCCGGGCATTCAGGCACAGAGCACTGAAGACATTCGGGAGAGAACCCAGAACTTCCCTAGTTGCAGGGACCTGTCAGGAGAGAGACAGACACGAAACAGGACCAAAGGGTCATCATCTTACAGTCATGCTACACAAAGTACATTTTCAGTGAGCTCCATATTTGAGGTTATGATTTATATAAACCCACAAGACTAATTCCATTTCTAATGCAGTCCCATCTTTACAAAGCATCCCGAAAAGTGGCCTGACAGAAGAAAATTGGAAGGGAAGCCCTTTTGTTGTGGAGAAGGAAACACGCTTATATGCAAAGTGAAAACAGCAAGAATTTGAAAAGCAGCAGCTTTATGGGACCCCTTAAAGTTATGTCTGGCTACCTAGCTACCTACTTAAGTATGAATACAGATTCAAAGGTGGAAATTAGGAAGTAAGGGTAAGAATGAAGAGGCTGAATGCCAGGCACCAAACTCATACATGTAGAGTTCAATAAAGTATAAGAAAGTGTACTTTATTATATTCTGCTTATTATACAGGAATCTCCCCAAACTACCAGCCTCGGCCTGGGAACAGCTAGGTAAGGTGTTTTAGAGCTTAATGGAAGTCAATTCTGAATCTGTGCAAGGACTATGCTTAGGCCTCTCTTCTGCTTGGCCGGGTGTTTCCCAACACTGAGTGAGATAAAATGGGAAATTATCCAGATTATTTCCCCCCCCCTCATCTTTCTTCTACAGTTTGAGAACAAAGGAAATATGTTTTTAAATGATGTATTTGAAAATATGAGCTTATTCATAATATGCGTAACGAGAGTACCTTCTAAATATTAGAACAGCATCATCCAATTATATAAAATCTTATTATCCATGTTCAATGAGCTCTTTTAAAGTTCCAGAAATAGGTGTTATTCCAATATTTCTAAGAATTTTCCAACATTTCAAATATAAAAGAGAGCAATATTTTACAGAAAACCAGATATAATCCAAAAGACACTTACATCTTTAATAAGGAGAGCATGCAGCATGACGTCTGTTAGGCCATTGTCCTGTAGGGAGGACAGCAGCGAAGGCTCTTGGAATACAAAGACTGTTACCACCTCAGTGGCTGTCAAGAAAAAGCACAGAATGATGCAAGTCATTCACAGTTCAGATTTTCTAGACAGAAAAGGAATCTTGGCAGCCAGGCTGTAAGGCATCATCTTAATTTAGCACAGCCCAAGGAGAGAAATCAAGAGGAGTGTAGATTGATGAAACATGCAAGACACAAAATTCTTTATTAAATGTAATCATACCTACCGAGTAAAAAGAGCGAGGGTCCATAATATTCTGCATTGCTGATAATATGTTTCAGAGAGGTAGGCAAAGAGCCATCCATCACTGCAAGAAGAAAGTAACAGGCCAGCCATACAGTTTAGAAATCATACACAACATACGTACTCAGAATTGTATATACTTCATCCAAAATTCTGCACCAGAAAAGTACAATTTTATGACCTAAAACTTCTTATTGCAAAGCATATTTTTATGTATGTTTTATTCCACCATTAAAAATGAGAATCAATTATATATTTTGCTAGTCATAAAACTTATTAAAAATTTAGCTTTCCAATTATATGGAATATCATTCAGCAAGTTCTTTAGCTTCAAGAATTGATCACTTCTACAGCTTTCCATGATAGAAGCTTCAAAACTGATACTAGAAAACTCAAGAATTCATTTTCTCACAGTGGAGCCAAATATAATCAACGGATGGAAACATTCCCCTCCCGCCAAGGGAATGGCTTAGTTTTCGTTTTACTTATAGTTATATAAATGAAGACAACTCTAACTGCTATACAAAAGCTAGACACAGCCAATGCAACAATAATTTTAAAAACCAATAATACACAATAAAATAGGTTAAAAAAAAAAACATTCCCGTCACCACGAGCGCTAAAGCAGTCATCCGAAAAACCTTCCAGAACAGCCAAGTTTTTAGGAGCGTCCAGTGGTCATAAGAATGAAGGCTTCCTTTGTCTGGCAGTACGGGGGGGCAAGCTGCTCTAGAAAAGGGAGGCATCCACAGAAAACGTGGGGCTGCACTTGAAGACCATCCAGAATAGTGGTGGGATTCAAAAATTTCCGCTAACTGTTCGGTGGGCATGGCTCGGGTGGAGACATGTGACTGAGTGGCCATGGCCAATGTGACAGCACTCACGCCCACTCAATCACATGCCCCCCACCTAGCCATGCCCACAGGAAAAGGTAGGACATTTTTTAGGATTTACGCCTATCTACCCCCACCCTCCCTTCGCTAGTCACCCCCGTTTCCCCACTTCCTCCCCCCACCACCGCCTCTTTGGTTGCTTACCTTTTGCAGCGGCTGGTCCAGTCCGGAAGGCAAGCTGACCTGAGTTTTCGGTGGTCCCCAGCCAGCCGCCGTTGCTGGCTGGCAAAGAAGCCTTCCAGCCGCTGTATCTTTGCATACAGGCTCTCAGAGGTCGGTGGCTGGCCACAGGCTGCTGAAAAGTCCTCCGGTTGGCGAAAAAGCAGCTGCAGTCGCCGCCATCTTGTTCGAGAATTCACATGCGCATCCTATTGTCTTGCAAGTCCACTTGGACTTGCAAGGCAATGGGATGTGCATGCACGAAAATGCTTTTTCGCCGACCAGAAGACTTTTCAGTGGCCTGCAGCCAGCCTCTTTGAAAGCCAATATGCAAAGAGGTGGCGCAAGAAAGTGGCAACCAGATGGATAGGTGAGCAACCAGCAACATGGGGACCAGTTCGGTGGCATGGCCAACCAGCCATTGCTACCGGTTTGCTGAACTGGGCAAAATTACTGCCACCGATTCGAGCGAACAGGCTGAATACCACCTCTAATCTAGACACTTTAGTTTTGCCAATCAGTGACCTATAGCAGTTTATCTCACTATTGCTGTGGGAATTGCACTGGCTACCAGTTAAGTTTCTGAATGCAATTCAAGGTATTGATCATCACCTATAAATCCCTATATGGCTAAGAATGGGTAACTTTGAGACTGCCTGTTCCTTATAGATTCTGCTCACCCAGTTTGACAGCACAGAATTCTGAATACGTCCAACTCTGAAGAAGTAGATTAAGAGGAAGCAAAAGTATGAATGAACATGCCTGTTCTAGATAGTGGGGCAATTGGTGCACCAATCTTAGCTGGAATGCTTTAAGGTCTTCATGACCACAGCCTCCGCCTGCTGTTCCAGATTTTATTAAGGTAAGCTAATAGGATTTATATGCAACAGTGACAGAGTATGCTGTCAAAGAACTCAAAGGAGCCCTAGGTATTAGGGAATCTCACCATGACGTATGCCATCTGAGAAAGCTGGGTCTTGGATGGCCTTTTTTAGGAAGTTCAACATAGACTTCAGAAGTGCTGCTCGTTGAGGGATGCACTGGACTCCTGAAATAGGGAGATCAACCAGAAATGAAATCAGTGAATAGCAAATATTCTGAAAACAAAGCAATTTTCTGTAAGAATCATTACACACCACTTCGGGGTGAAATTATGGTGTTTGTGTTGCTGCTGCTGCTGCTGTTGCTGCTGCTGCTGCTACTTGGAGTGGTGGCATTTGAAGCTCGTGTTTCAACCACTACTTCCTGCCGATTCTCTCCAGAGGTGGAAGGCCCAGGGCTACTTTCCATGGCTACATCAGAAACTGAAGATATGAAGTTGACCAGTTTAAACAAAAATCTTATGGCACAATCTGACATCAAGAACTATGCATATCAAAAAAAAAAAAAAAATTCTGGTCAACACCCATTAAAAGGACAATTTGAAATTAAAAGGAGGAGTTTTGAGGAGGCAGGATACCTTGCTCTACCCCAACTGTTGGGGTATCAGTCCATCTAAGATGCCTATATACAACCTTTTCAGACTGCGGATTCCACATGACCTTTCAATACAGTAGCCAGCTCCAAAAATGACAGAGCCAGGATAAAATCTAAACTGATCCTCTTTTAAAATAAATTAAATGTATAATTATTCACCAAGCATGCCATGCTTTCTCACTTTTGCCTCATTTAAATGACAATTTCATAGCAATAGCAATAGCAGTTAGACTTATATACCGCTTCATAGGGCTTTCAGCCCTCTCTAAGCGGTTTACAGAGTCAGCATATTGCCCCCAA